ATGTTTGTTGAATGAACCCAGTAGTAGGAGGAACTTTGGGCTTGGAGTCAGGAGTCTTGCCTCGGGCTCTGCCAGTAACTTGCTAGGCAACCTTGGACAAGTCTCTGGGCCCTAGTATCTTCATCTGCAAAAATGAGGAAAGTCTCTTCCAGCTCTGCCATCCTGCGTCCTGTAACTAAGGGCCATTAGGTAACCTTCATTCTTTTTTTGCTAGGCAATGGGGTTAAGCGACTTGCCCAGGGTCACACAGCTATTAAGTGTTATGTGTCTGAGGCTGGATTTGAACTCAGGTCCTCCTGAATCCAGGGCGGGTGCCCTATCCACTGCATCACCTAGCTTCCCCCTGCACCCTTCATTCTTAGAAATTTTGTTAGCTGACATCCAAATAACTTGAAGGTTCTGGGATGATTTGGCTAGGAAGTCAATTGCTTCCATATTCTGCCTGCTCAGGGGAGTCTTTCATACTTTCCAGGAAAGGTGGGCTCAGTCAAAAGGAAAGGGATTAGTGAAGGGATAGAGATCAGGGATAAGATGGGGCACAGGAAAGAGGACAGGAGCTCACTGAAGCAATGGAAAGAGGAATGGGAAACTCAGTGGGAGGTATGGAGGCCTAGGAAGAGAATGGAGGGTCAATGGTAAGGCAAGGTTTAGTGAAGGGTTAGGAGCTCAGTGAGGGGCTGGGGGCTCATTGAAGAGGAATGAGGGATCATTGAGAGGAATGGAAGCCCGACTGGGAGCTCATTAGCCAGCGTTGACAATTCCCCAGCCAAACCTAGGTTACTGCAGGTAAGGGGATGGGAAGGTCAGTGAGAAGACAGCATAGTTAGGGGTATGGGGGCTTAGTGAGGGAACGGGTGCTCAGGGAGAGAGTGGGGAGCTGAGTAGGCGTTACAGGGGCTCAGTGAGGACATGGGACCTCCTAGAGGGGGAACTGAAAGAGAAGGATGATAGGGGAAATGGAGGCTCAGTGAGGGGGTTAAGGGACCCAGAGAGAGAACAGGACATAAGCACTGTCACATTCATTCTGAGATTCCATTTCTTCTCTTTCTAGAGATTTGTGAAACCCTAAAATCTTTTTCTACCAGGTACACCAAGACTGGCACCCAGGCTGAGAAAGCGAACTTATCTGGGGAAGGGGAATCCCAGAAGACAAGAGCAGGGAGGGGGATTTAGAAGCTCAGAGCTAGAAAATGGGTATCAGAAAGTAAGGTCTATGGAGGAGTCAGGCCAGCCCCATAGAGGGGTGGAGTACTAAGGTCTCCTCTCAGGGGCGGGGACCATATGCCATCTCTGTCCTTCCTCAGACCTGGAAGGTATTCTACCTGCCCTCTCCCCACTCCCCCAAAGAGAATTTCTGATGGCTGAGCCTGGCAGCACCCACTGTGGGAAAGTGAGAGAATTGGTGGGGACCAGGCAGGCTGGGGGTCAGCCGGCTGTGACTGCCGATGTCTATCAGACTGCCTGTCCGTAAAGGGGCCGGAATGCATGGCCATCTGGTGCCGTGGCCAGAGCTGGGGAGCCCCAGGCACAGATGCATCAGGATAAGCAGGGGGCTGGGAAAGCTAAGGAGTTAGGACTGTGTTCATTCTTTCTCTTCCCTTTGGTTCCCCCAAACCCTTCCTCCTATAGGGCCCCACTGAGCATGCAGCCTGTGTGCCCTTTGCTCCAGGCTGGCATTTAGGAAAAGGGAGGAGGGGAGTTCCTGCAAGAGGCTAAGGAGCATAGTTTTATATCGGATTCAGGAATTCCCTGGTCCAGTCCTAATTCTGGGCAGCTAGGAGGCACAGTGGATAAAGTGCCAGATCTACAGTCAGAAAGACTCATCTTCCTGAGTTCAAATCTGGCTTCAGACATCTACCAGCTGTGTGACCCTGGGCCAGTCACTTAACCCTGTTTGCCTCAATTTCTTCATCTGTAAAATGAGTTGGAGAAGGAAATGACAAACCACTTCACTATCTGTGACAAGAAAACCCCAAATGGGGTCACAAAGAGTCAGATATAACTGGAAAATGACTGAACAACAAGAAATCCTAATTCCGTGCCTCAGTTTCTCCCTCTCCTGAAAAACAATAAATATCCACCTTCCTCCCCTTATCTATAGGAGCCTATAGAGAATATGGGAGTATGCAGAGTACAAGAGGAGTTAGGACCTACAGAAAGTGACCTAATGCATCTGTAAGGCAAACTGAACAACTAGGTGAAGGGAGCCTCAGTTTCCTGGGAAATGGCGCTCCTTGGAAGCCATCCCTTCTCTGCCTCACCCAGAGGACTGACACCAACACTAATGCACAAGAAAGGATTCAACCTGGGAAGCAGGTCTTCTACAAATATACTCTTAGACCCTACCTTGAATAAATTCTTACAGAACTGTAGGATGTAGAGGTGAAAGTGACCTCAGAGAGCGTCCAATTCAGCCCTATGTTTTATAGAGAAAAATGAGACCCAGAGAGAGAAAATAACTTGCCAACGGTCACTTAAGTGGTAAGTAGCAGAGCTAGGATTCAGTCCAAGGTCCTCAGACTCCCATTTTTTTTCCCACTCCACAGCCCTCCCTTCCAGGTCAGTTGGCTCGGCCCCTAAGTATGCTTCTGGTAAGTCAGTGTGAGCTGGGAGGGGGTGGGGAGTGGTGGGAAATGGACAGCTTAGACCAAGAACCACAGCTAGACATCCTGCAGTTGGCTACATTTGGAAACCTGCTGGGGAAGGTTCGAGGAATGCTTTGCGGATTATACACTGGGGGGATGGGATGGGGGTGCAGATTATTTGATTTTTAAATTCTAAGTGTCTGTCCTTTTAGAATATCTACTGTATGGGGACTCTCAGTGATTTTGGATTATCTGCAGCTTCTATTTTTGGGCATTTCTTATTTTAAAAAATTATCCGTGTGCTTTTAATTATAATTTTCTGCTATTACCTGCCATTTGGAGATTATTCATGGTTGGCTTCCTTTTTGATATTATCTGCTATTTTGGAGGTGATCTGTTTTTGGATCATTTGTGCTTTTGATTTATCTGTGGGCTTTTGATATTTGCCTATTTGGGGAATATTCTAGAGAAAGAAAAACTGTCTGAATAATAAAGAGCCCCCAGAGCCCACCTGGGCAGAAAGGTGGTTTATATTTTTACATTTGCAAAACTGTGAACAATAAATAAAGGTGACTGTGCAGCCTCCCCCAACCCCTGTCACCCCCATTACTCCCTCTGCCCTCTTCCCATTTCCCCAGAAATGAATAATCACTAAGAACCCAGGAAGTGATTGTCCTTCCATCCATGCACAGTATAGGGTATCCAAGAAGCTGTCCCCTTCCTGAGGGGGCCAGAGGGAGGGTAGCCATCATACCAGTTAGGGGAGGGTGAAGGGAGATAAAAGCGCCATCTTGGAGATGGTGTATGGCAAAAGGTCCTAGGGTTAGGGTAGGGTTGCTCAGGGCAAATATCCTTTCCCTTTAGGCTAGTGCCAATGACCACCCAGCTCGCTTGCCCATGGAGGAACTTTCCCCAGGGCATCTAGAAGGGAAGGTATTGAGCTCAGGATCAGTTCACCTGAGTGAGTCTGGGCTTCAGTAATCTTCTCAGGCCACCCCAGGCAGGGCTTGCTTGAGGCAAGACTTGGGAAGAGTTCCTACCTGATCTCAGCCTTCATTTCTCAAGGGACCCTTCAATCTGGCCTCCTAACTGGGATATCATCTTCCTTCATCCACATGGAATTGGGGAGGGGGAGCACTTCTTTTATACTACATTTGGTGTGGCTTATGTGAAGATCTGATTATATAGAACTGTATAGGGAATTTCTTCATGAAGAACTCAGTAAACATTTCCCTAGTGGGGGTGGTGAGCTGGGATGGTTCTGGAGAGTGCCTTTGGAAGGTGGACCAATAGAGACTCGAAGTGGGGCTCCAGAAATTGGAGGGAAAACAAGGAAAGATTCACAGGATTTAGGACCAGAAGGGACCTTAATGATCATCTAATCTAATCTCTTCATTTAACAGATGAGGATAGTGTCAGCCAACAAGGTTAATTGACTTGTTCCCTGGTCACACGGTTAGTGAATTTTTGGTGTAATCACCAAGGAGAAAATGTTCAGCCTTTGTCCTTGGGCAATGGGGCCAGACCAATTGGGAGAGGACTAGAAAAAAAAGTTTCTGCCTCTAGGGTTAGATTACAAGCCTCTCAGAAGATCTCTGCTCTCCCTAACTTCATAATCACATATTCTCTGTAAATTTCTTCTTTTCTTTAAAGTCTAACCCTAATAAAGGATAAGGAGATGTCATGAGTACAGGGGGCTCACAGGTAAGGAAATTTCCTCTACCAATCTGGGTCTGTACCTTCTCTGCAATTTCTAATTTTAGAGAGTTGCCTGAGGCATTGACATGTTAAATGATTTGCCAAGATCACATGGCCCTTATTATGTTAGGCAAGACTTGAACCCTGGTCTTCCTGGATCTGAGAACAAGTCTCTGTCTACTTTCCAGGCAGACCCTTGGAAAGAAGCCAAAATTTGTTTCTAGGGTGCACCCAGTGGATAGAAGTTCCCTTCCATCTCTAAATCCTGTAATTCTCTGATTCATTCACTCTGATAGGGGGTGGTTCCTGGCTTGGCCAGGACTGGTTAAGAAAAAGATTAGGCAGGCAGCTAGGTGGCACAGTGGATAGAGCACCAGCCCTGGAGTCAGGAGGACCTTGAGTTCAAATCCAACCTCAGACACTTGACACTAGCTGTGTGACCCTGGGCAAGTCACTTAACCCCATTGCCTAGCCCAAAAAAAAAAAAAAGAGAGAGAGAGAGATTAGGCTATGGAGCTGTTTTGGAGCTGGGCAGAAGGGTGGAATAAGGCAGAGAACAGTAGAAAAGAAAGTGGAAGACAACCTTCAGCTGAGATTGGATTTAGTAGGTTCCCCTCTTTCTCCCTAGGGTCCCTTATATGGGGAGCTATTTCCCAAACTCATCCTAAATCTACAATAGCACCAGATTTTCCATACAATGAGGCCCTTGTACCAGTCTTAAGGGAAGGGGCATTTATTTCTCCAGAACCCTGGGAAGGGAGGAGGTAGTAGGGACAATATCTGGAGAGAGGGTGCTTTGGCTCCATTCAGCCTGGGGGGTATGTGAGGGCAAGTGGAAAGAGAGAATGGAAGAAGGTAGGAGAAAGTAGAAGAGAGTGGGGAAAGAGAGGAGGTTCTGGGACATAGAAGGGTAAAGTGGGCAAGGTGAGAAAAACCTAGTGGTCACAGATGACCTCACATCAATGATGCTAATGAACCAGCACAGAGAAGAAAGACCAGCTTTGGATGGTTGGGCAGTTTGGGGGCAAGGGTATGGTTTGGGTGGTGTCCAGGGCCCTCATCATTTGGGCTTGGGGATTGCAGAAAGAGCTACTGGGCTGAGAATCAGAGGAAGCAACAAAGTGGTTATGGCTGGGGTGGCACACCTGGAATAAGATTCTCCAGAGGGCAGTGCCCAAGGGGATCTTGAGCTTTCTGGAAGGAAGGAGTTGATTCTGCCAGAGCCCTTTCTCCTGGGGATTCAGATGGTAGAGAAGGGAGACCCAACCCAGTCCAGATAAACACTGAGTCTTTGGTTCCTGAGGGACACAGATGTTTCCTCCTCCCCAGGGGTTATGTTTTCATCCCCTACCTGACTCATAGCCCCAGGAGGGAAAGACTGGAGGCTTTGGTACCCACCTGGGGAATGTCCCTGATCTGAGGTGGCCCATTTTCTGGGACTGACACAGGGGAGTTGGGCAGATACATAAGTCCAGGGCAGTTTGGAGGATGGGGGAGGGGGGAGACCAGGTCAGACTTCAGTGTTCTCAGGGCTATGGAGACATGTGGCTTCTGGGTCCCCAGGAAGGACCCCCATCCCACTTCGGGGTCCCCCACCCCAACCACCTAGTGGCCCTTCCTCAGGAGCCAGGAGCTGGGGACCCCCAGGGGTAGACCCAGACCCTCCAGGGGCTCTCCCATCAGCACCCAGCAAGACACTGGAGTCTGCCTCACATTTAGTGGTATGGCCATAGAAGGACTCTGTTGCCAGTGTTGGGGGTAGAACTGTAATGGGCACCCCAGGTGATTCTGAGGATCCTTGTCTCCCCTCTGGCTGGCCCAGCTGCAGGAGCAGCAGATCCAAGGGGGTCTTGGTGGTCTCCAACCTAGTTTCCTCCCAGCCACCCTCTTCCAGCTCCAGCCCAGGAGGGGATGGCCCTTTGTCTGGCACTCTCTTCACGGACAGGTCAAGGGGCCCCTCAGGAGGCCTGGTTGCCTTCTCCAGGGCCTGGTGAATGTGATAAAGCTCCCGACGTATCTTTCCCAGCTGTTCCCGAAGTGGGCCCTGAGTGGGACCACCCGTGGTAGTCAGTTGGCCCAGCCGTCTCTCCACTTTCTCATAGTCTCCCAAGGCTTTAGACAGGTCTTCTCCGATTGGACCTGGGCTCATTGGCCTGTACCCCTGAGGTGGTTTGCCAGGGGGTCCATCCAGGGCTGGGAGCCCATGGGAAGTAACCTCAGCACTGACAGTATCAGAGTCTTTGGGCCAAGGGAGCAGGGGTGTAGCAGCCGGCACACTGCAGAGGGAAGAATCATAGAACAAAGAATGTTGGGAGACAGCTGAGATATCTAATTCATCCACCCCACCCCATTGTACAGATGAGTAAACTGAGACCCAGAGAGTGGAAATGATTTGCTTAAGATTACACAATGGGTAGGTGGAAGGCCTGGGAACAGAACCCAGGTCTTCTGGTTCTCAGAGCAGTAATCTTTCTCCTCTTCCTTGCTGAGAGGGAAGGGGCTGTTAATGAGGACCAAGGTAATTGTGGACACCACTTATAGCCGGGCTGGCTGTCACGCTCTCTTCTAGTAGTCTGGTCATAGGGCTCCCAAATCTCCCTTCTCTGAGAGGAACCTTTGCAACCTGCCTCCTTTGGGGGTCACATTGTCCAGACCCCTGCTTCTTGATAATCTCTCTGGTCTCCTAAACATCTTTAGTGACCTCCCCTGGTCCTTTTTAGCTCTCGAACCTACACCAGCCAAAACCTCTCCACCCCCCTAACTTCTCAGGGCCCTTGCATCTAGGAAGTAGAGTCAGGCTTCAGCCCTTGGAGGAAGGTGGGTGGGGGATACAAACAGATAGAGTCAGAGAGAAGCCCAGAATTATGCCCTATCGATGGGGCATTCAAAGCTCCCATGCCCTGGGTAACTGGTGGACATGGGGAAAGTAAAGCTAGGTATGGCAATGGGATGGGGGAGTCGCAGCACTGAAACGCAGGTTGTGCCGATTCCTCACTAAGAAGGTGTTGCGGGGTAGCTAGGTGGCACAGTGGATAGAGCACTGGCCCTGGAGTCAGTAGCGCCTGAGTTCAAATCCAGCCTCAGACCAGACATTTGACACTTACTAGCTGTGTGACCCTGGGCAAGTCACTTAACCCCATTGCTTAGCAAAAACAAAAACAAAAAAAACCCAAACAAAAAAAAAGGCAGCCTTGAATAAATCCCTTCTGTTCTCCTGGCCTCAGTGTCTACCTTTGAGAAATACAAAGAATATTTTGGGCTTCAATTTTTACAGAGGCAGAGAAGTCCCTGAAAGCCCTTCTCGGCTGCTGTTGTTTTTAGTCATGCTTGACTCTCTGTGACCCCATTTGGGGTTTTCTTGGCAAAGATACTGGAATGGTTTGCCATTTCCTGTGTTAAAAGTGGGGAAAGGGATGGTGGGGACCTTAGAAAACATCTAATTCAACTCTCTCATTTTACAGATGAGGCCCAGAGAAAGTGATTTTCCCAAGTTCACAACTAGTAACAGAGCTGAAACTTGAACCCAGGTCTTTGGACTCTCAAGTCTGGTACTCCTTCCACTGTTTAACTGTCCATCTCCCCCACTCTGCAGAGCCTAGAGGCCCCTGTGGCATCTCCACATTGTCCTTGACAAAGAAGAGCCCTAGACCACACTCCCCATTCTATATAGAGGCAGGGGGAAGGCCTAAGGAAGATGTAGAGCCATCTAGAATGTGTGACCAATTCATGCAGCTGAGACCCAACCCATCTCCCAGGGAAGCATCTATAGGAGAACCATGTAGTTAGTCTGTACTCTCTGACCAGTACCTCTACCCACTCACCTCCTCTGGTAGTCAAATTTCCCCAGTGGCAGGCTGTCCACACCTGAGGGATCCTTTAGGAAGTCAAGTCCACTCCCAAAAAAGGACTTTCTTTTCAGAGTGCTCATGGCTGCCATGGGGCTGGCTAGAGCCCCCTGGGCCTTCCTGGAGCTAGTCCCAAGCATGCCTCGGTAGATCTCTGATGATGGTGTTCTGCCTGACCCAGTAGCCTCCTTCTGGGAACCCCGACACCTGCCTTCCTCTTCCTCCTCTTCTTCTTCCTCCTTGGTTCCCGGAGGCCCAGCTTTGAGCTCCACCTCCTGGACTGGGTCCCTACGGGAACTCCGGGGCCAGGAGGCAACAGCTTTGGACATTGGCACCTTGAGAAGCCCTAGAGCTGTGGGCATCTCTCCTGGTGTCTTAGCTGGGAGGGCAAGGTTTGCTGGGGCAGGTTGGGCATCTGTGGCTTTCCCACTGGGTGTTCCAAGGGCATGCTCAAACAGCAGTGGGTAGTAGAATCGTGGGAGGAAGGCTGAGCGTTCAGGGCCTTGCAGAGTCTGGAAGGGTGTAGCAGTTGCAGCTGCAGCAGCTGGTGGGGGCAAGAGTTGAGCAGCTGATGCCAAAAAGGGCATCTGGGCTATGGGGGCATGGGTGGCAGCAGTACCAGTGGTGAGTGTGGGCCCCAGGTAAGAGAAGAGCCCAGGGCTCAGGGGGTAATTTATGCCCAAAAGGGACAGGTTGAGGCCCTGGGCCTCCTGATAATCGCTATAAGCTGGAGGGGGATAGCAAGGGATGATGCCACTGCCCTCAGTGCCCACTGGGGTCAGATCTACACTGGCTCTGCTCTTCTGGCCACCAGCCACCAGCCTCCATTGTTCCATAAGGAGCCCACCAGTGTTCAGAGGTTTCTTAGGTGCCCTTCCTACCTTTGGCTTGGTATCAGTCTCTGGTGACAGTGTCTCCCGGCCTCTGCCCCCGGCATTCCGGAGGGAGAAGACATCAGTGATGATAAAGTCAGGCTCTGGTTCCCTGCTCTTGTCTTTGAATCCAAAGAGGAGGGCTCCCACATCGGTTTCACCTGGGGCTCCAGCCTTCCTACCTTCACTGGGATCCGTGGTCCTCAAGAGTCCACCTGCCACTTCCTCCTCTTCCTCCTCCTCAGGAAAAGCTCCCCCATCCTCACTGGGTGGCCCTGGCTCTGCTGGGGAACTGTCCCCTGGCCTGGGCCCTGGTCTTGGCCGCTTGGGTGGGGCTGGGTCGGAAAGGTCACCCTTGGGCAGGCCCCGGGACCCCTCGGGAGTTGGGAAGAGCCGTAGCTCGGGCTGGAGAAGATGGCCCTTCTTGTAGGCCCAGTCCGAGGAGTCAATGAGCAAGGACAGGGAGTTCTTACAGAGGCTGTACTTCATGTGGTTGTACAGGTGGGACTTCTCCATGCAGGTGAAGGGGCATTGGAAACACTTGTAGTTGTACGGTTTGCCCCAGGGCCTCGGGATGTAGTGTGGCTTTTTGGGCTTACGCTCCTTGGGCTTGTAGGCGGCACCAAGACGGCAGCTCCCAACCTCCTTGGACATGGCCGCAGACAGCACAACTCCACGCTAAGAGGCCTCCCTGGAGATCATGGGCCAACCTATGGCAGAGAGCTCGAGGTCAAGCCCTGCTGGCCCCAGCAGGCTCCTTCCCACCTCACCCAGCCCAGAGAAGGGCCCGAGTCTTGCCTCTTGGGACTCCAACATCACGTGCCTCTCTTTCCTTTCCTTTTCTCTCATCTTTCCAAATAAAAGACCTACAGGTTCTCTCCCTTCCCCTCATTCCATGTCTTAGTGGGTCCCTACCTCTCTCTCCCGTGTCTCTGTCTCTGTGGGTCACTGTCTTTCTGTTTATGTCTGTTTTAGCCTCGGTCCATTTTTCTCTCTCTCTGGGACTGCTAATCTCTATCTTTTTGTCTTTGCCATTCTCTCTTCCTAGCTCAGTTTTTCTGTGTCTACATTACTGTCTTTTTTTTCCCCTTAGTTTTTCTGTCTTTGTTTCTCTGTTTCTGCTAATATTTCTTTTCATATTTCTATCTTCCTATGTGTGTTTCTGTTGCATTAATCTCTCTCTCTCTCTCCTCTCCTCTCCTCCTCTTCCTCTCCCTGTCCCTGTCTCTCTGTCTCTGTCTCTTGTATCTCTGTCTCTCCTCTTTTTCTCCTGTTTTTGGCTCAGCATGGTACCCTGCCCTCAACCTACCTATACTGCTCCCCAGAGGCACAAACACAAAAAAGTTCCCTGTACTGGTATATCTGACATCTACTCATTTTTGCTCTAAGTGCCAATCCTTTCCTTGATCCTCCCATTTTCACCCCAGGAATTTCCCACCTGCCGGGACCTCAGCTTCTCCATCTGTACAATGGAAAGGGGAACTGTACTGAGCCTGGTGATAGGAACGGGACATACAGGCCCTAGGAATCATCAAACCACAGAAGCCCAAAAGGGATCTTTGAGAGGATTTTGTCCAGCCTCCCCCTCTGTGCAGAAATCCCCTCTATAACATCCCTCAAAAGGGATCTTCACTTTCCTGATTGAACACCTCTAGTGGCAGAGAGCTCACTACCTAATGAAACAGCTCATCTATTGTTAGACAGCTTAGATTGTTAGAGAATTCATCATTATGCTGAGCTGAAATCCGCCTCCCTGTATCTTCCACCCATTGCTTCTAGTTCAGCCCTCTGGGGCCAAGCAGCACAAACCCAATCCCTCCTTTAATGACAGCTCTTCAAATACTTGAAGACAGCTATCATGTCCCTGCTAACTCTTCTCTTCTCCAGGCTAAACATCTCCAGTTCCTCGGAGGGATCCTGACAGTGAGGGTGGCCAGACACAAGTAATTTCCTCCCCTTCTCTACTGGCCTGCCCCACAGTGTCCTCCTATCCTATCTCATGAGGAATGGAGGAGAGTCGAACTGGAGAATGGAATAGAAACAGACAGAGACAGAGGTGGCTGGGGGAGGGAAGGAGGAAAGAGACAGACACTGTAAAAGAAGTACTGGGGTGGGGGAGAATGTATGAGAGATGGAGATACAGATGGAGTAGGTTCCGAGAGGGAATGTGGTGATCCAGACTCAGGACAAAGAGAGAGAGGATTATCAGAATGAAAGGAGCACACACACAGACCTTGGAGACTCATACACATTCACTATATGCTCCCAGAGACATACTCACAGACACATGCATACACATATAAGCATACTCACTGAGACACTTAAAAACACATATGGAGGCAGCCACACTCATAAACATACACATATAATCTGTGTTTGAAGAAACACAAAAACACATCTCACATAGAAAGCAGTCATTGACAGACTTAAAATTATATATGACACTCCCAAGGCAAATTTGTCATGTGAATGTTCCCTGCCTTTATAGCTGATTTTGTTCCCTCCTTCTTTCCCCCCTGCCCCAGATAGAGGCTACTTTAGACTCCAGTTCTCACCTGCCCTACCTCTGGTCTCCTTCCCCCAAGGTTATTATAGTTGCTTCTGAGAGACATTTGTGCCTCTGGGGAGGGAAAATCCAGTATGGCTTTAAGCATAGGTTTATCCAATCCCCTGGGGAGCTTGTCTAACCTCATCCCCACATTTGAGAGTTTGCTCCCATTGGCTGTGGCTTGGGTTCAGCCCCACCAGGCAGGGGAAGAACTCGAGTTGTCAAGCAGCCTGGGTATCTGGTTGGGAAGATTATGGGAAGCCTAGGTGACTTTGGACAAGCCTATCTAAATATGGAGCCTCAGTTTTCCCATCTGGATAATGGGAAGGTTACAGTGGCACATGTTATTTTTCCCTCTCCTGCCAGCTACATTCTACTGCCTTATACCCCAGAAGGCCATAGGATAGAACAGAATCAGAGTTTTGGCCCAGAGTGGGTGACTAGGAAGGTCTTTTGTGTATGTATACAAATATGTGTACATACACATATATACATATGTAAAGTACATATCAATATATGTTATATATATATATATAATTACACACATGTATATGTATGCATATATGTGTATGTATATTCCTTGGTTGGGATGTCCTACCCCAGGGGCAGGGCACCCTGGGTCACAACTCTGATTCTTTTCTATCCCACAGTCTTCTGCAGCGCAGGGGAGTAGAGTGTAGTTGCCAGAGAAAGAGAAAGAAAATGTGTCACTGTATACTTCCCATTATCCAGATGGGAAAACTGAGTCCCTTTTATATGAAGGGACAGTGGGGAGGTCCATCCTTCCAGGACTTCCATGTTAGTAACTACTGAGGCTACTTGTGAAAGCTACCTCAAGGAAAATGAAACCCTAAATAATGCTGAGTGCCTGAAATGTGGAAAGAGGTTGTAGCAGAGATAATAGAATAGAGGAGATTGATAGGACAGGGTTGGACCCTTAACCTTTATCACTCTGTCAGGGACCATGGCATGCAGGGACAGACTGACCCTCCTATAGTGCTGAGAGAAGCATTGGGGGTCAGCTGGATCCAGCTCCTTCTGCCTCTACAAATCAAGGCTTGATCTACTGTTTTGCTGATTGTCTGAACTTAAGAAAGTGACAGAGGAAATGTTAACGTTGCAGATTAAACTTCAAAGTATGTTGTACATACAGTTCCCTCCACCCCACCCCCAGAGAGCTGGTTGTTAAACATTTACTACTTTCAGGACTCAAAGAGTCATGGTGGGGGAAGCTGGAAGGAAGATCATAATCCATAGACACAGAGCCATGGAAGACTTTAGAAACCATCTAGTCTCCTCATTTAACATTTAACTGAGGCCCAGGAAGAAGTGATTTCCTAGGGTCGAAATGGGAGTGAATAGCAGAGCTGACATTCTAGCCTAGGTCTTCTGAACTTGTGCTCTTTCTGCCCCTCTGAGGTCTGGGAATTATCTTGCTCAGTCCTTGCTTTTGTGCAAGGTGAAGCCCAAGTTGTTCCTTGCTTGGTAGTTCAGTCCATAGGATCTTACAGGGGCCTTATAGGTCACCTAGTCCTGTCCCTTCATTTTACCTGAGGGATTTAAGGGCAAGAGAATTTAGGGGACTTGTCCAAGGTCATAGAGGTAAGAGGCAGGGTCAGGATTCAAACTTTAGGACAGAATGGGGACTGGTTGAGCAGAGGAGCTCCTGGATGTAGAATGCCATCATTCTGGTCGCTTCTGGAGCCATGGAAAGAACTGGGCTCTAGGTATTGGAGAGACTCAAATTAGAGTCCCTGTTCTGAACTTCTGTGACTCCATCCCTGCAGTGTTCCTTCCACTGTCTTCCCAGTTCAATAAACATGTATTAAGCACCTAAAGTCAGCATCGCATAGTGGATTGTAAGCTGGGTTTAAATCCTATCTTTGAAACACACTGTGTGACTCTGGGCAAGTCACTTTACTATAGGCAACTCTAAGACTATAGAAATTGTAATAAAGCTTTGGCAAAAGGAAGTCCTCCCAGATAGTTCCCTACACTATCATGGATCTAGGTTTTTGGTTTGTTTTTTTTTTTTCCCGAAGGGGTAAAAGCATGCTAGGCACTAGAGAGAAGTGGGCAGGGGAAAAATTCTCAGCTTGGTACTGCTCCCACCAAGTGTCTTTGGTGAGGAAAAGGAGGGCACTCCTGCTAACTAGGTTTTATCCCACGCTGGTTACCAGCTACCCAACTCCAAGAGCTGCCCTTTTCCCAGACAGCCTCCCACCCCACAGGCCTCAAGACTGGTGGGTCTGGGATGAACTGGGGAAGCGTGTCATCCAACAGGGCGATGTGCCCTTTTATCATCAGATCAATCCAACTCACCCAGCAAGGCACCCTCCTCATCTCTTCCCACTCCTTGCTAATATCTTTTTTTTTTTTGGCTGGAGACACAGAACTGAATGAGCAAATAGCCAACTAAAACAATTGGACACAATGCCAGGGCATAAAACCGAGCAGAAAGACCCCATCTGACCCTCTCCCATCCCCAAGTGCTGCCATCCCGCCACAGGCTCCCCGAAAAAAGCTGCCCGCCTGGGGTGCACCGGGGACTGGGGCAACGGAAGCAATGCTCAACTCCGCTGGGTACTCGGGGGTTCTCCCGCAGAGCTCCCACTGCCCGGAGCATGTGCCAGGAGCCCGCTACTCCAGAGACTTCATGCGGAGGAATGAGAGAAGGGAAGTAAAGGCCCATGACCGGCCCCTCCCCCCGAACCCCCTTCTTCTCCCGTCTCTCCATAGGACTGCTTTTCTCTCCAGGGAGAGGGCATCTTAGAAAGAAGGGGGTGGTCCGAGCTGGGGGCAGCGCTCTCCTCGTCGCCTTCCAACCCTGGACAACCAGCTAGTGGAGCGGTTTCCTCCTCCTAACTTTCCCTCAGTTTTTTAGTCCACCTGGGCCAGGACCCAGAGAGAGAAAAATCAAAGCTTCCTCCCCTCGCCTGGATCCTTTTAACTTAGCGCCTCTAGAAACAATAAAAATTTCAGGACTCACGTTCCCCGGAACCGCCTGCTGGAGCCCACCTTCTGCGCTGGGACCCTGGAGATGGGGGCGCGGGGCGAGGGGAACCCTGGGGACCCCCCTCTTGACCTCAGCGCCCTCCCAGTGCCCCGGGGGCCTCCCGGGAGCCCCCGGCAGCCTGGCGCCCAGGGCAGCGCTCCCCCCCT